CGAATCGCCGAACGATCGGTCCAAGACGCCAAAGCAGCCCTCTGACGGCCCAACAGGTTTCCAAAACACCCTACGAGGCCTCCAATAGCACCCCCAAGAAGGCCTCACGAGGCACAAATCAGTGATGTTCTCCGGTTTTTTGTTCGATTTTCCGACTCTTCAAGACGGCTTCCCGACTCTCGGCTCTTCGGCTTCCTGACTCTCCAAGACGGCTGAAGGGGCCCTCAAAATCGCCCCAAGATATCTCAAGAGGCTTGCAAGAGGGCCCCACAACGACCAAAGAGGGCCCCAAGACGGCCCAAGAGGTCTCCAAGACGGTCCAAGAGGCCCCCAAGTCGGCTCCATGAGGGTGCCCAGAAGGGGGGGGCCGAACGGACATTTCGAGCCCTCGGCCTGAGATGCTCCCGGGAAGCGCCGAGAAGCCCCCAGGAGGCCATCAAGGGGCCCCTAAAAGGCCCCCTGAAGCCCAAAGAGGCCCTCAAGATCCTCCCAACAGGCTCCCAAGAGGCTCCCAAGAGGCCCAAAAAATATTCACTTCGTGGAGCTCCCCATATGTGCATTTATTCGCATGGACCTGTCCGCCGTGAATGTCTAGCCGCAAGAGCTTTCGAATATATATATATATATATATATATATACACATATATATATATACGGGCTTCGGTTATGAAGGTCTGGTCATGAATCTAACTGAGAATGAATTGGAGTATGAATGAGCCTCAGTAGTACGAGCGCGTCTCTGCGCATGAGCCTGGGTCCTCCTGGGGCCTCCTGGGGCCTCCTGAAACCTACTGGGGCTTCCTGGGGCCTCCAGGAGCCTCTTGGGGCCTCATGGGGCCTCCTGGGACCTCCTAGGGAGGATTCGTGCCACAGGAGAGGCCCAGTACATAGCAACAGACGTACATAACACATTGCGGATTGGAGCCACAGGAGAAGGGGGCAATATATAGGAACACACGTAAAACACCAAGGACTCGTGCCCCAGGAGAGGCCCTATAGGAACATAAGTACACAGGAGAAGGACACGCTATAGAGACATACGTATAACATCAAGGACTCGTGTTCCAGGTGAGGCCCAATATATGAGCATACGTAAAACACATGGGATTGGAGCCACTCCTGTTGCCTTCTGAGGCCTCCTGCTCCTGGGGCCTCTCGGGGCATCCTGTTGCCTTCCGAAGCCTCCTGGCGCTTCCTCTGGCCTCCTGGGGTCTCCTGTGGCTTCCTGAGGCCTCCTGGAGCTTCCTGGTGCCTCCTAAAGCCTCTTAGGATATCCTGTGGCCTCTTGAGTCTTTCTGTGGCCTCCTGATGCCTCCTGGGACCTCATGTGGTCTCCTGGGGCCTCCTGGAGTCTGTCGGAGCCTCCTGTGGCATCCTGAGGAGAATATGTGCCCACGAGTCTGGCCACCGATCGAGACATCCTCAAAATCTGGCCCACCTGGGGAGTGAAAATGAGCGCCTCGCTCGAGACATCCTCCAAATCTGCTCCGAAAGCGAAAGATGCTGAGACAGAAAACAAGCTAACCGCTTGAGACATCCCCACAAAACGGCCGCGAACGCGACCGTGAGATAACCCCTGGCGGCTCCCCTTAGGGGGGTGAACATGAGCGCCTCGCTCGAGACATCCTCCAAATCTGCTCCGAAAGCGAAGATGCTGGGACAGAAAACAAGCAAACCGCTTGAGACATCCCCAAAAGACGGCCGCGAACGCGACCGTGAGATAACCCCTGGCGGCTCCTCTTAGGGGTGGTGAAATGAGCGCCTCGCTCGAAACATCCTCCAAATCTGCTCCGAAAGCGAAGGATGCTGGGACAGAAAACAAGCAAACCGCTTGAGACATCCCCACAAGACGGCCGCGAACGCGACCGTGAGATAACCCCTGGCGGCTCCTCTTAGGGGGGTGAACATGAGCGCCTCGCTCGAAACATCCTCCAAATCTGCTCCGAAAGCGAAGGATGCTGGGACAGAAAACAAGCAAACCGCTTGAGACATCCCCACAAGACGGCCGCGAACGCGACCGTGAGATAACCCCTGGCGGCTCCCCTTAGGGGGGTGAACATGAGCGCCTCGCTCGAAACATCCTCCAAATCTGCTCCGAAAGCGAAGGATGCTGGGACAGAAAACCAGCAAATCGTTTGAAGCATCCTCACAAAACGGCCGCGAACGGGGCGTGCGCGAGTCTCAGCATGAGTAAATCTGAGTAGGAGTAGGTCTGAGTATGAGTAGGCCTGGGTATGTGTGATTTTGTGTGTGTGTGGGTAAGTCTGGGTATGAGTAAGTCTGAGTGTGAGTCAGTCTGTGCATGAGTAAGTCTGGGTATGAGGAGGAGAGGGGAGGAGAAGGAGAAGGAGGAGAAGTCGGCGGCGTCCAACAAATAACAATAACCCCATCTTAGGATATGGGGCACTACTCCCCAGAGGCCCCCGAGAGCGCTCTGAAGAGACCCCAAGAAACATCCCTGAGGACTCTGGCCAGCGTCAGCATAATCGCCGTCGTCGTCGTTCAGGGTCGGCGGCACCAGCCGCAAGGCCTCGCCAGTAGCCAATCATCGAAACTCTTGCACATGCTTGAAACGAGCGCACGCGGCTGCAAGGCGAGAACCACATTTTGAAAAACAACCGCCTTTCTTCCGTGAGAAGATTGCACACGTTGAAGATGAACGTGCGCGGCGCTGAAGCGAGAGCCACACATTGAGAAGGAAACGCTTCTCGTCTGTGAAATATTGCAAAACAGCGAATGCGCGCGCCGCTGAGGCGAGAACCACATGTTGAAATCGGCCCGCCCTCAATCCGTGAAACTCTCGCAAATTCCAAAATACAAAATGCGCGCGGAGCTAGGGCAAGAGCAAGATGTTGAAAACGAAAGGTCGACCCTCAATCCGTGAAACGCTGGCAAAGTTTGGCTAATAATGTGCTCGACGCTCATGCGAGAACCACATGTTCAAAACGGCCTGCCTTCAATCCGTCAAACTCAAGCAAATGTTTGAAAAACGAACGTACGCGACGCCTCAGCGAGAGCCACATTTTGAAAACGACCTGACCTCAATATGTGAAGCTCTTGCAAAGTTCCATACCGAATGTGCGCGGCGCTGAGGCAAAGGCCACATTTTGCAAGCGACCCACCCTCAATCGATCAAACTGCTGCCATCTCTTAAGCTTGAGGCTCACTACTGGTTAGGAAGTCTCAAACGAAACGCCGAACCCGCCCCTCCGACTGGCCTCGAGGTGCGACGGAGGGGTGTTAACCACGACGACGCCGACGACGGCGGAGACGGGGTTCACAAATGACGCCGCCCACGCAATTCAATTCGAACCATGGAGACTCCAGCCACCCCCTTGCCTGAGCGATGAAGGTCACCCCCTTGCATCTCTCACAAGAACGGCCGTCATCATTAAGCGGCTGAGGCCGCACAGCGTGACCCCCTTGTCCGACAAGATCGCGCCACAGGCCCTGTAGAAATTCTGTCCCGTCGGCCCGCCGCCCTCGCCGTAGTTTCCCGACCACCTGCTGGAGACGTAGAACTCTAGATGGAACAAAACTCAACTCAAATGGAAAGAAGGAGAAGCAGCTGACCGCCCGCGCGGAACGATCCCTATTCCAGTTTGGGGCAAGGTTGAAGGGCCTCAAGCCAAGGGGTCTGAAGGCCAGGAGAGGGCACGAAAGGAGCGGGTAAGAGAACAAATCGCATGACAGGGGCAGGCTGCTCGCTCATCCTGTGCCCAGTCGAAGCTCACTTGACCTGGCCGACCAGGGCGATGAACCTCGCGGACGAGCGCGCCACGCAGAGACCCTGCCGCAGTTACGCTCGCCGCCCTGCTCCTGAAGGGTGTGCCTGATGGCGACCGGCAGCTCCACGCAGATGGTGTTCGACGGCGTCGCGTTCAGCAGGAACTGCGCCTTCGCTATGACATGTCCTGGCCGCCCACATGACATGTCCTGGTCACCCATAATACTGTGCATCCGCACCTCTACTCAGTAGAACCTCGCCATGTCGCACATCACCACTGGATCCTGTTCCGTGATGATGGTACCTCCCAATACCTATCGGCTGCCACTCCGTGCTGCGGAAGATGGTCGCCAAAGGCCGGCCTCTGGATGAGCGCCGAGAACGACCGAAGGAAGGACGCACAGAGTTTTCCGTCTCTTCTCGTACTGCTGTCAATATTTCGTCGCTGGCATGTCCCTCTCCCATTCCCCCTGCACATCCGAGTTGAAGGCCTGGTTCTCCTCTAACATCAATGAACTACGTGCCCATCCAGGGGCCTCAGCAAAGTGTCGCACACCGCGCCGATCAATGCGTGCAACTCCACCTCGTCGCGGAGCACCAGCCTGGCCAGCACCACGACGAGCTCGTCCAGGGACTGCTTCTTGTTGCCCTTGCCCGAGGGGCTTGCCGCCTACGCCGCCACGGCCACGTGCGACTCCTCCGTCATGAAGTTCGCTTCTCGCCGCCTCCGCAGCTGGTTCGGCACCTGCGCTCCTGGCCATCCAAGCCAGCCTCAGTGCTGCCATGGTCCCATCCTCTGACACCTGGCTCCACGAAACAGCGACGGCATCGGTCGCACACACGCAAGACTTGAGCGAAATGAGTACGGGCCCTGGCTGCGGAGGAGAAGGATGAGGGGGAGGAGGAGGAGGAGGAGGAGGAAGAGGAGGAGGAGAAGGAGGAGCGTTTGTGCTAGTAGCAGCTGGCAGCACGAGCATCTGCAAGCATGGGTTGGGAGCCAGGCTAAGAGACAAGAGAGTGCGATCCGCCGCCCCAAAAAACAAGAGGGGGCCAGAGCGTGGGCGGCACTGTGCCGCACTGTCATCCTCGCCGGCAGGGTCGCTGCCTCAACAGCTGACGCCACACCTGGGAGGAAGGCCTCCCCTGAGTCTCACTGGAAGCGTGCTCTGTGCTTTGGCCACATGATTGGTGTCCAAAACGCACAGCATCACGGGGAGGAGCAGGAGGAGGAGCAGGCGGAAGAGGAGGAGCTACTGCTCCCCGTGCCCCCCTCCTGGCGCAGCTCCGGCTCCAGCAGCGCCCGCTCCCCGACGCACCGCACGCTCGGGGGTCGCAGCGTCAGGCTGGCGCCGCTGCGGCCTCCCCGCCGCCGCCGCGTGGGGGTGGGCATGCAGGAGGCCAGCAATCGAGAAGTTACACTGGTCCAGCTCCTTCCTCCTTCCTCCGCCCTCCTGTTTCGTTGCTTTGGGCTGCCTGGGAGCTCGTGGCCTGGCCTCCCTTCGTGGGGAGGGCGGCGGAAAAGCTGAACAAAGAGTTCTCCCGCCCTCACGCACGGGGTGTGCGTCACATGCTAAGGCACAGCGACCGCGCGAATGCCTTGTCCGACCGACCCGCTCCTCCTCTGACTGTTCTTGCCCCCTTCCTGGGACAGGAACGGGGGACGGGCGAGACGGATCTGCACAGCTGTCCTCTTCCGAGAAGCGAGCCCCTGGACGAACATCGGGTATTGCGAGAAGTGCCCATGGCCCAAGGTGCCCCCGAGATTTTTACAGTAGGAGCACGACCACAAGAAACCCTCCACAAGAAACACAACCCTGAGACCCCAGGACGTCCATTGATTTTTGGTGTGGGAACGTCACGCTTTCCATAGCTAAACCAGCGAAGCCCAAGAAACCAAGGGCACCCAGGAGGCAAGCAGGGCGTTTCTTGGCATGGGCTTCCACTGTACGGAGGCCCCCACGGCCTCTGGAGCACCCCTCACGAGGCCCAGAGGGCCCAAGGGGGTCCGAAATGGTGCGAAACGCTGGGGGCACCTTGGGCCGGCGGCTCCTTGAGCCTGGAAGCCTTTCGCCGTTCTCGGGGCCCCCAATAAGGGGCCCTCCATGGTCCGGGGACCAGCCAGAGAAGGAGGGGGAACGATAGAAGCAACCCAGCTCAGAGGGGGTAGGGTAAGACGAAGCCAGGACGAAGATAATATCGGGTAAAGAAAAATCAATAATTTTGAGAACCAGCGATTCTAGAGGATGTCTCGGGCGCCGCGGCCTTCTCAGAGCGCTCTGGAACGCTCTGAGAGCGTTCCGGAACGCTCTGGAACGGACTTTTCCTCGTCCTAGCCCAGTCCAGTAGGGGGAGGGGGGAGGACTTCTTGGAAGGAGGCTGCTTCTTAGAAGGCGCGGGCCTCACATCAATCGAAAAGGCCCGCGCCTTCTGAGAAGCAGGGTGCTTTCAAGGAGCCTTCCGCCCTCCCCCTGCCCCCTCTGCGCGTGGCTGAACTCCTATCGTCGATGAATGGGCGATTGGGGGTCGATGCATCCCCCCCTGAGCCGATTCCCCTCTAACGTTGCCGCTGAAAGGCCGGCTCGCCGTGAGGAGCCGCTCCTGGGAAGAGTCCCAAGGTTCAGGACCCGTCTCCCGAGGGACCCCTTCACTCCATGGCGGTGGCGTGGAGGCGACGGCGTGCGGGCATCCAGCAGCATCCCTCCTCTTCGTTCTCCACCCTCCTCGTCATCATCATCACCACCACTACCACCATCATCATCATCATCATCATCATCATCATCATCATCATCATCATCATCATCAGCAGCAGCAGCAGCATCAGTATCAGCATCATCATTATCATCATCATCATCATCATCAGCAGCAGCAGCAGCATCAACATCATCATCATCATCCTCATCATCATCCTCATCCTCAGCATCATCATCATCGTCATCATCAGCAGCATCATCATCCTCATCCTCACCATCATCATCATCATCATCATCATCATCATCGTCATCATCAGCAGCAGCATCAGCATCAGAATCAGCATCAGCATCAGCATCAGCATCAGCATCAGCATCATCATCATCATCATCAGCATCATCATCATCATCATCATCATCATCATCATCCGAATCATCATCCGAATCATCCTCACATCAACATCAGCAGCAGCATCAGCATCAGCATCAGCATCAGCATCATCGCCATCAACATCATCATCACCATCATAATCATTGTCCTCATCATCATCACCTTGACCATAAGCATCACCGTCATCGTATTCATGATCCTCGTCATCACCAGCACCATCACCAACGGCATCACTACCACAACACGCGTCATCACTACCACAACACGCGTCGCCACAACATAGCACATCAGCAGCATCAGCATCAGCATCATCATCATCGTCATCATCATCAGAATCAGTATCATAAACAGCCTAATCATCATCATCATCATCATCATCATCATCATCATCATCATCATCATCATCATCATTATCATCATCTCAATCATTGTCACCAGCATCATCATCATCATCCTCATCTTCATCATCATCATCACCATCATCATCATCATCATCATCATCATCATCATCATCATCATCATCATATTCCTCCACCTTTCCACCTCTTCTCGTCGGCCCGCACGTTCTCCTCCTCGCCCTCTTACCCTTGGAGGTGGGCCGAGCCATCTTGGGAAAAACACCATTCAGTGAAACGACTCGGGACCAGACCCAGGGGGCACAGACCATTAAATATTGCGGCCGCAAAACCCTCGAGAACATAAAAAGGGCAATTCGCTGATCGACTTGGCCATGAGGGGGACCGGTTCTATCATCCTCCAGCTTGCCTTCCCCTTCGGGAGACAAGCCTCGCCTCCTCCCCCCCCCTCTCCAACTCAGACAAGGGCACCGCAGCACCGCGGCACGGCAGGAGCGCCGCACCGGCCGACAGGGCGGACAAGGTCCGCTTCCGCGGGGCGTCACCACGACGACGGCGACGACGGCGACGACCACGACGATGACGACGACGACGGCGACGACGACGACGACGACGACGACAACGACCCCTCCCCCCCCAAGCTGGCTGCACGCACGAGTGACCCCAGGGCAGGAGCGACCACTTGGCGCTAGGCCCTCGAATGGCCGCGGGGAGCCCAAGCATAGGCGCGCAGGCCGCCGAGTGGGAGGGCCCTCGTTCACCATGACCGCCGCGGTCCAGCAGCCATTACACTCGGGCCGCGAAGGAGCACGCAAAGCAAAGTGATACATATATGGGGATCTGCGCAACAAATCCTCAGACTGCTAGGACAACTCCGACTACTTCGAAAATGACTACGACGACGAAGACACCGACGACGATGACGACTACCAGTAATACTACAACAACTACTACTACGACTACGACTGCGACTACTGCTGCTGCTGCTGCTGCTGCTACTACTACTACTACTACTACTACTACTACTACTACTACTACTACTACTACGACTACTACTACTACTACTA